AAAGTAGACCAAACCAAGGCACAGTCCAATCAGACACAACTCCAATTTTGTTTTTAATTTGTTTCACATCAAACAATAAATAAAAAATAAAAAAAAGTAAACCAAGGCACAGTCCAATCAGACACAACGACTCCAATTTTGTTCTTAATTTGTTTCACATCAAACAAATTAAGAACAAAACTGGACTGAACAAACAAAAATGATGGAAGATCGTAGAAAATGGCAAATGCACCACTTCGACAAGAGACATGTCTTAAATTATGAATGAAATAAAAGTAACCAAGTTCTTATAACAATAGCTATCTGCGAGTGAAAGTCTCAGATATAATATATGATTAGCAAGAACAGATAGCAATAAAAAAACATTTTTTTATGTATATTCCGTATACATATATTACTTTAATATGCATTTAGTGAAAATCTGTTAATTTTAAATCACAAATATTTCAATTATATTTATTTGTAAGCATATATGCGACATTCACTTCTGTCTATGTTTCAACCAGTTAGACAACTTAATCGAAACAAGTAAGAGAATTATTCGTGTTAAAAACTGATTTATCTAAATATATATATATAACTCAAAGGTGACTGACTGATATAGTGATCTATCAACGCACAGCCGAAACCACTGGACGGATCGGGCTGAAATTTGGCATGCAGGTAGATGTTATGACGTAGGCATCAGCTAAGAAAGGATTTTGGTTAATTCTATCCCCAAGAGGATAAAATAGGGGATGAAAATTTGTATGAAACTTTGTTAATTTTAAACCGATCGGGCTGAGACTTTGCATGCATAAAGCTACTATGACGTAGGCACCAACTAAGGATTTTGATAAATTCCACCCCTAAGGGGATTAAATAGGGGATGAACGTTTGTATGAATCTACTTAGATTTTCGACTGACTGAACTGAAATTAAAGATTGGAGCTACTATGATGACGTTGGCTTAAATAGGATTTTGATAAATTCAACCCCCATGAGGATAAAATAAGGGATAATGCAGGATGTAAATGTACTAGTTTGAACCTATCAGTACCTAATGGAACGAATAAATTAATTAAATTGAACGAACAAAATAATTTTTAGTTCTTTAGGCTACTTTTATTTTAGAAAAATAAAGTTGAATTCCACGCGGACGAAGTCGCGGGAACAGCTAGTTACTTATAAATTACAATATCTATAGAATATCATTTATTTTCTACAAAACACAGTTTCCCCGAGTATTTATGGCAGTGATTTTATATTACTACTCATTATACCGGATGACTTAGTACCGCCCGAAAATATACACACAAATAAAATTGGTCTGTCTGTTTGTAATAAAGAAATAACCGTTTTTTTCTACATGCATATGAATATAAGTACGGTACATACACTAAAATAACATTTTTTTGTCGGATTATAGAGGGGACCTAAGGGTTCCCGTATAGTCCGGAATTTTTTACAAAAGAGTACCTTTGTAATCCGACAAAGTACAGATCCAGTGATATGATTCTATGTTACATATGCACCCTGAAGTACCCCCAAATGATACTTCATTATGTATGTCAACTACTAAAAGATTCGTTACGATTCAGGCGGTCTAAAATATCACATCTTTCTTTAATTGTCATTGTTTTGTGCTTTCGCTTCTGAGCTGATGTGTAATACACAATGAATAAACAGTAAACAATGAAGACATGCTATACTGCAGCGCTACCTCCATCACATGTAAGTAGTCAAATGCAAACTAAGCAATCATGATCACAACAATACTCTACGCGTCGAGTACAACAGTGGTGATGCGTACAAGTTCAAACTTGTTCAAATTTGTCCAATCATGCATTAGCGAAGATTGTGAAAAAAATAGTAAATAATAGACCATGTCGGAATACAAGGGGTCCGGATTACCGCGGGTCCACTGTACATATAAACAAGGATAATAATAATGGTGTGATATACGCCACAAAGCATAAAAACCAGCAAAAACTGTGAAAATTAAGCGAAATGCGAAATAATAATAATATTGTGATTTTCAGCCGCAGGAATAAATCTATTACCCTATCAAAAGGAGTATAAAATAAATAATAATTATATAGTATAATATCTCAGGACAAGTCACACAGCGCCATCTAGTGTTAAGGTAAGCAGAGCTTGCTTTATGGATGCTAGACAACTGATATAAATACATACATAGATACAGTTTTCTTTTGTAAATACAGACGTAATATATTTTGAGGTTGGCAACACTGCTTTATTACGTACAGTACAGGCTCAAAATGATATGTATAGCATAGCGCATGCCCTAATTTAATACCAACGCAATAAAAGTCATCCGGTATAAAAGTAGAAGAGCAATAAAACGTACTAATTTAAAAACAAAAATAAAAAACAAATCCACTTTCCTGTATTTAAGTCACTTTGAGGCGATATAATTATATGAACACCATGTATCATACATCGCCTGAGAATGGCTCATATACAGACTGTTTCTGTTATATTAAGTTGTCGCTATTTTGTCCGTAAATTTCGTTATTGCCTAAACTGAGTCAGTTTGAGACGATGTAATTTTTATGAATACCATGTATCATACATCGCCTGAGACTAGCTCATGTACAGGCTGTGTTTCTTTTACATTAAACTGTCGCTATTTAATGAGTAAAATTTCGTGATTGCCTGAATTGAGTCACTGTGAGGCGATGTAATTTTTATGAACACCACGTACCATACATCGCCTTAGAATGGCTCATATACAGGCTGTTTCTGTTACACTAAAATTTATAATCTATCTTATCGTAATATTAATATTATAATGCTTGAACTAAAAACTTTAAACGTTGGGAAATCGACTCTAAATCCTTTATTTTAAAGTCCATTTCTTCAATATGTAATTTTTGAGTCAGTTTAATACAAAATTGAAGACGTCGAAAAATGAACTCTACAGTTTTTATTTTAAAGTCCAATTCTCAAATATGTAATCTTTGAGTTTGTTCAACACTACATTAAGGGTATGTATAGGGTTAGTTGCGTGATAAACTAATTTCAAGCAATATATAATTACCCTCTAATTCATAAAAACGTAAAAAATATTGTCTATGTTAGCCATTAGAGTGTCTATTGTTACCAACCGCTCGAATGGGCTGTTTATTTGTATGTTGGTATTATTCCTTATTAAAATAAATTACTTCATATTCACCACTGCTTCAATACCTTTACATAACTTTTTGAATTTTTTCTTTATTTAAACCAAATGTTTTTTGAAAGTCAAGTGAGGGGGAGTTGTTCAGACATTATATTAATAAATCTATACATTAATCTAATTCTTATCCTATATATGACTTAGTGATTCTATATCTCAGTCCATCCCGTTTTAACAATACAGACACCGCATATATCTATCCTTGTCACACAGGATGTATCGGGAATATAAACAACAAATTTGATACGTCAAAAACTGTATAATCAACTTTTTTTTAAGAAAATTTTCTACAAATCAATTTATGTACATTTTCTACAAATGTCTCGTTGTTGTTATATAAATTTGTGAAGAAATGGTGGTCAATAAGTTTTTCTTTCTTTTCTTTTCTTTTGAAATGTAATAGTTTATGTGTATTATAATATGTAGATTAATTAACCGTTTTTCATTAAATATATTAACTGTACATTGTAATATTCTATTTGCGTATAGAACTCTTGCACTACCATTATCCGCTAAATACGTCCACTGTGGTGGAAAGGCGATTGTTAGTAATTTGGACTAATAATGCCATTGCTAGCAATGTACCATGTTAGGTTGACCTCCACGCGGTTCCCCCTGAAAACCATCGTGGTAAATTCTTGGTGAATTTGTCACGATGTGCTAACTGACCTGACCTCATGCTCATCTTATCATCCTCCACTGGTGCCCCGCCAGCGTTGGCCGTTAGCGCGGGCACAAAAAATACGTCCATTGTCACAGCGTTGGGTTAGCTGGAAGACGTATATAAGTCCACCCTTGCTCACATTTTTTTTTTTATAAATATGTTGTTTTTTATTATCTATATAAATACAAGAATATTATAAGATTTAGTTGATATTTTTATATCGTTAGCTGGAATAGGGATTAACTAAACACTAGCCGTGTTTAAAGTGGTCGCCCCGAGTGATCGAAATTAGACTATAATTAATTTAACATTCAGTAAGACTATAGACAAACAATATTAATCTATTCTCAATTTGACCACAGACTAACAATAAACAAAAGAGTATATATATGTCAAATACATGTTAGTGTGTGTAATACATATATTTGTATAGATTTAATGTATTTTTATTGCATAATAAAAAAAAAATAGCATTCTGTACGCCTTGAGATATTACAGTAACCAGTGATCGCTCAATGGTCGAAATCCGACCATAATTAATGTAAATTTGACCATAAGTATTGTAATATTGGATGCACTGTTGTATTGGGCATATGCCTGTGATGATAGTGTGTATATAAATCAATATATAAATAATTAATGTAAATTATAAGTTTGAACATTATTAAAGTTCTATTGTCAAAGACTATACTTGTATAATCATACGCACTAACAGACGCATATGCAGTAAACAAAAGAGTATATATGCGTGCGTGTGTCAAACACATGGTAGTGTATGTCATATTTTTTTTTAATAATTTAATGTGTTTTTTACGTAATGTTTTCAAAGAAATCTGCATTCTATATAAAGTATGTGATAATAAAATTTCAACTCCTCCATCCGCGGGATTTTCTTAAAAAGAGCTACAAAGTTTTTAGATCACGTATTTTTAGATATATGAGTGTTGCTGACAGCTTGTCCGACATTGTTTTTATAAATTTTGTATTTTTGATATCTGTTTTTTATGTTTTAGTTACTGAATGATTATTTATATTTCCTAAAAGGGCTCACTCTTGGGATGTAATATACATAATATATATTATAATATAAATATACATTTATAACAATTATAAAAGCTTTTTATTAACAGTCGTGTAACACTGTTTATTCCCGTTACATCCTGTATAATCGTAACATGTATCTTGTTATTATACGATTCCCGCTACACCCTGTACAATCAAACTATATATTACATAAATTTCTGAATACTTACAACTAAAAATATCATTGTAAATTAAAACCGCGTAGATTCTTCAATCGCCTCTCCAGATCTTCGACCTTCGCGTCTTCCCTGGGCCAGGATACCGGCTGCTTCTTCCTCTCACCGCCGGGTGCCATCTGGAAGTTGCCACCCGTCTTGCCTGGACTTTCGGAACTGAAAAAATGAATCATCATATAAATACATGAAAACTTTGTACCCCTTTTTAGGAGAATGCGCGGACGGTGGAGTGTGAAATTTCGCACACTTATTGTTTATATAGACAGGAGTGCAGAATGCTAATCAACAATTACAAAACCATAAATAGTGATATCAATAATCTCTCGTCATATAGACATTCACATTCACTTCATCACACCTAGTGACAAATTATACAACTTTACCTCACAAAAACATTTATTAGAATTATTACATAACAGTAAGTTCTCGGAGAGAGCCTGGAGATCTGTAGTACAGGTTTCGACTTAGTTCAGACTCCAGACTCTCACAAGGAATAGCTTGTAAGATTAAATACATACTTTTGTTACTTTGTTTAATATTGCAAGTTTCAAACAATACTCATTAATACAAATGTTAAATAATTACAAAGCGGTGTGCTAGACCGTTATACCACCGAGGTCGTCTTATATATTTATATCTATCGACTATATTTTATTTGATTATATTATTGTGTACTACATGTACAGTTTGTACTTGTGCAGGCGTACCTACATACGCCTGCACAAGTACAAACTGTACAAACACCACGAGCCAATCTAGCAATAGCTAAGCTTATACTTATTGCCTATCAGGGATGTCATCGATATGGAATTTCCGATACGGATAGGTTTCAGATAAAGGAATGATTATAATACGGTATTATATGGATATGAAATTATTTTGGAATATCCGTTAGTTGCGGATAATTTCGGCTACGGATATTATTTTTTTAAGGAATTTCAAAAGTAAAACATAAATAGCTAATGAAATGGTTACATAACGTGTCTCAATTAGGCTCCGCCGCGCGCGGAGTGGCTACGCGCTACATTTACATACAACATGCTTGTTTGCCTCTATCGTAGTATAAAAAAAAACTGTTATTACCTAAAATACTCTGTGCCGGCCAGTTCGGTGTTGCTATTATTATCTTTGCTGTTGTACAACCACACGCCGCCGTCCATTTTGTGGTCTCTGACCTGGAAGTCCATGCTGTACAGGCGAGGGGGACTAGTGAAGTCCACATTCAGGGGTTGACCTGGAAAATAAATTATTATATTATAAAAAATTAATAAGTGAAGCAAAAACTTGGTACTCCTTCTTATGAGAATTGCGAGGACATAGGAGTATGAAATTTCGCACACTTATAGTTTATCTTACTTTCTTTCTTATATTATAGTTTATATAAAGAACGAGTGCAGAATGCTAATATTTTTTATAATTATGTATATTTAAATTCAAATTCAAATTCAAAAATAATTTATTCATATATATTATTATTTTAGCCGCTTATGAACATCAAGTTTTTAGATTATAATTTTTTTTTCCCTACCGTCCAGTTTGGTATATAGATCCAATTGAGAAGAACTAGCAAGAAACTCAATTGAATTACTTTTTTTTTTAAAAGCCCGTTTAATTACAATGTATAGGTATTCATATAGGTGTCTATGTCTAACATTAAATGAAAATCCCGTACATGAACAACTATTGCCATGCACACTCGTCATTCAAGTAAATCGTGAGAATATGGTTTAACCGATGTTTTGAATTTATTTAAGGGTAATTCCAAAATATCCTTTGGTATCTTATTGTAAATTTTTATACCTATTCCCATAAAAGACCTATTTACTTTTTCTAAACGATACTTGGGGACAAAATATATTATAAAAAATATATTAAATGAATAAAAAACATGACACACACATAGTCTTTGACAATAAAACCTTAATAATGTTCAAACTTATAATTTAAATTCATTATGGCCGAATTTCAACCACTTGTAATAATAATATCTCAGGACAATTCACATATAAAAACTACATAGATGTAGTCTCAAGCTTAGCAGAGCTTGTGTTACAGATACTGGACAGAATAGAATAGAATAGAAAATCGTTTATTCAAATAAACTTAAGCACTTTTGAATAGTCACAGTTAGCCTTCTCTTAAGTTCTAGTTGGCTTTCATTGCTCCATAAGTCCTTCCTTTGGTTTGGATTGTCATATCCACTCGCCCCCTATCGTCCGGAGAAGTTGTAAAGGCCAGTTGCAGCCAACAGCATTAGAGTAGTCCGAAAAAAGGACTGCCGTCCGCCACTACACATCCTATGTGGTTGTAGCCCACTCATGCATAAACCTCAGAAATATTTGTTTTATTTTATATAGTTTATGCAATGTTTTTTTTGTGGAAATAAATATTATTATTATTATTATTATAAACGAAATATCTCCTTTGGAAAGTTTACACTCTTTCCCGAGGAGATAAAAACCACCGCTCCTAAGAATATCCTTCAATTCTTATCCCTGACGGATCTTGGTAGCGAACTTTGATAAAGGGCGAGCACAATAGATCTATGTAGTTCGCAGTGTTACAGGTCATAGCACCTGACAATAGCCCAAACAACCCAAACCAAAAATTTTTATTGTGCCCAATTCATTCTTCATTCATTCATAATTTAAGATCTACGCTCTTGTCGGTGGAGCTCTTGCCACTTTCCGCGATCCTCCATCATGCTCTTTAATTCTTGATACGACACGACTCCCATTTTGTCCTCAGTTTGTTTGATGTAGCTATTCTTTAGTCTTGTGCCCAATAACAAAAAAAAAATTGTGATTATATACCCGGATGTAGCCGGTCGTCTTGTCTGAGTTCCGCATAATCGCCATTGTTGTTACACCACCCGTCGGCCGGGTACCAGGGCTTGCTTGGTTTCTCTTTAACCGGTGGCTTCACCTCCCTCGTCACTGGAATGGAAAGTTGCATGTGATATGGTTGTATCAAATCAAATAAATAAAAAATAATTCATATTCATTCATCAATAATATTTTTTCCCTAATTATGAAAATGTAAAATATTTTGTTAATTATCAAATTATTTGAAACATGACTGGCCGGTGTCAAATTGAATTTCAGTTAGATCAGTTCCATCCTCATATAAAATAATAGGTGTGATACAGTGAAAGTACCAGGATAACATGAAGTAACAGACCATAGGTGATGTATTTGGTACTGTTGTTTTTTTTATATGATAATGGAATGGTGCACCCGCCTGCGCTAACGGTTTACGCTGGCGGGGCACCAGTGGAGGATGATAAGATGAGAATGAGGTCCAGTCAGTTAGCCCATCGTGATAAATACACCTGGAATTAATCACGATGGTTTTCAGAGGGAACCGCGTGGAGGTCAACCTACCTAACCAAATCAATGTAATTGGCTGGGGGGAAGGGGATTGTTAGTAATGTGGACTAATGATGAATATGATGAATAATGAAATAGTGCATACGCTGGCGGGCATTAGTGGGGTCAGTTCCATGCTCTTATAAAATAATAGATGTGATGCAGTGAAAGTACCAGGATAACATGAAGTTACAGGCAGTTGGGTGATCTTTGGTACTGTTCATGTATATAGGCGACGGTTGACACTCTCTATATATTATAGAACTGTAAGTCTTCCATAATGGAATGCATGCACGCGTGTAGGATAATGGTTTACGCTGGCGTGGCACCAGTGGAGGATAATAGGATGAGCATAAGGTTATCTATCTATCAGACTGCAGTAACAATGATGTCAATGTCGGTAGGTGTCAACTAATTTTTCTATAAGCGCGTAGCGGTTTCTGTTGATTGTCGCATGCCTAATACTTGTTGTTATAAATCAATATTTATTTAAAAGAGCAACACACAAGTTTCTTGCTCATTCTTCTTGTGATGAGTCTGCATTCCGAATGAGCGGTAGAATCAAAAAAATTGACTATTCAAAAGTGCTTATATTAAGTTTATTTGAATAAAGATTATTTCTATTTCTATTTCTATGACAGCCGACTGAAGTAACAACTCCAGTTAGTAGACCTAGACCACGGCTAGTGCAACCTAGTCGAAACGTCCGTAAATACCTTTAATATATTTATTTATATATTTATTATATAAAATTAATTGTGTTAAGACCCATTAAACAATATAAACAATGTACATTAAACGTGAGTTTAAAAATAACAGAAGTTTACCCACCGGGTGCAGTCCAATCCGCGACGGGTACCTTCGAGGGCTTGGGCTTCGGTTCCGGGCTGGTGTCTTCCACGTCCAGCTCGTTTAACTCGGCCAGGATTCGTTCCTCGCCGTCGAACACGAAATCGCGTTCAGATACCTTACGAGGCTGCGCCCGTTGGGGTATTTTCGGGGCTGTAATTATAAAATTTGTTATAATGTTAAAATAAATGTTGATTATTAAAACACGATTTAAGAACGCGATTGAAGAATACTAGTCGTCAAATCCAGACCCTCTGTTATGTTTGAACGACTCATATAAATACATATATATTTTTTAAATACATACATAATCATCATAATCTGCTTCTTCCTTATCCCATTTATTTGTGGTCGTCGTAATATGTTTTTCGCTTCCATTCATCCCTGTTCGCAGTCATCGCGTTATTTACTTCCTTTCTTACCATATCATCTTTCACACAGTCCATCCATCTCTTTTTCGGCCTTCCTCTGCCCTTATAACCATCCACATTCATATGTAACACCTTTCTTAATACATACATAATATGTGTTTAAAATGGCATATACCATTATTCTTATTTTGTCTTTGTAGATTATCTGTGTACAACTTATAAACAAAATAATAATTTGCATGCCATTGCTATAAAACATATGATACATATGATAATAATGAACATATGATATGTTCTACTTTGTCATTTCTTATACTGGTTTACTGTGCGAATAAAAATTATTATAGAAAACACTCAGTAATACAAACAATCATACTCACGATTAAAAATGTTTGTACCATCCGAGGAATCCTACCCGCGACCATTGTATACAAGGCCGTGTGCTAAATCACTAGACCACAGGTCGTCAAACATTAAAATCGAAGTCTTTCCATACAAACCTTCTTTTTGTGGTTTCGTGGGAGTGCCCCCACTGGCGCCCCCGTTAGTCTCCAGGAGTTCCTTCAGCTCTTGTTCCAGTTCTGCCGCGTCGAAGTCCTCCACAGTGGTGCCTAGAGCTTTCTCCACTTCATTGTATGTATCCATTACCTAATAACAATACGATGTTTATAATTAATATTTTTCCCTACCGCTCAGTTCATTATACAGATTTCAAATGTCTAACTTTAAGTGAAAATCTCGTGCATGAACTACAACTACCATGCACGGTTGTCATTCAAGTAATTGTTTAGCAAGTAATAGGTTTTGCTCAATAAATATGATTTAACAGATGTTTTAAATATATTTAATGATAATTCCAATATATGCTTTGGTATCTTATTGTAAACTTTTAGTCCCATTCCCATAAAAGACCCATTGACTCATTCTGAATGATACTTAGAAACAGCAAGTTTCGTCTTTAAAGCTAGTATTAATAATATTATTAAAGAATCTGTATACCAAATTACATTTGAGTTTAACAAACACAATAATATATACTCACAAGATTTAACGTTTATAATATAAATAGTATTAAATGGCTCTGTGGTCCCCTTCGATGGATCCCCCGTCCAATTTAAATGGGGATCGATTTACGACATCCCGAGCCGAGATTAGAACCCCTTGCGGTGCCCTCAGACCGTAGTCGTATCCGTCAGGCGGGAGTTGGCCCTCAACCGCTCTAAAAGTCCTTTGGTTTTGAGTGCTATCTGCACTCGCCCCTTATCCGGTGAAGCTGTAAAGGCCAGCTGCGGCCAACAGCATTAGAGTAGTCCGAAAAAATAGCCTCATTGGGATCAGGTTGTCGCATGATGAGGTGATAACCGTGCCGCTATTAACATATAGTTAATAGTTATCACTTACCATCAGGTAGAAGACTACCATTCCAATTAAAAAAAAAAATTACGAGTTCTGATTTATTTCTGCCCTTACCTCTTTCAGATCATCCAAGGTGTCGTGGACAGTTTCTTCTTCTAGTCCTCCCTCCTTCATTCCGCGCTTCATTGCTTGAGAACTTGTTCTAAACAATTTTTTTTATTAATTATTATACAGCTTAAGAAACTCTCTTCAATGCCTGATGATGCCTCGGTCAGAGACGAAACCCGTGTTGCAATATGAATGTAGACTCAATAATGATCAGAATTTGATCACCAATAGGGAAGGTAGCAGAATTAAACCAAAAATAAAACATCATTTAATGTTTTCATTTAAATTAAAATTTGGGATAGTATAGTATACTATAATAGTTTCTTATTTTTACTTCCTCAGTCTACCCACCCAAAGTTAATATGTATCTGTATTTCAACTTATTCCTAAGACAGTACAAGCTTATTTCAAAACTAAAATCTGAATTTCTTGTCAGTTAATCTTATCTCAAACTGACGGTAGATTTGACACATCATAAGAGTCTGTAATAGACCTACATGAATAAAGATATTTTGAATCTGAATTATTATTCTTTATTGCACTTTTAAATACAAGATATCAAATATATATTAGAAATTTTGTTAGCAAAGGAGGACTTATCTCTAAAAGAGATCTCTTCCAGTCTACTCAAAACAGGGACACCCAGGAGGCAGTATGTCGGCCACAGAAATGCATATAATATTTGTATGAAAGGACTAAAGTAAAATAACTAATCATTACATAGTATAAAACAAAGTCGCTGTCGCTATATGTCCGTCCCTATGTATGATTAAATCTTTAAAACTACGCAACGGATTTTGATGCGAATATTTTTTATAGATAGAGTGATTCAAGAGGAAGGTTTATATGTATAATACATGTACACCAGGGTGAAGCCGGGGCGAGTAGCTAGTTAAAACTAAAATTGTAAAATTAAAGTACTATATTAATTATCATCCAGTTAAAACACTGGCCATCAGGTTGGCCAAATGACTGTTTGCCATTCTAAATACAGAAAAAGAAATAATATTTATTCAAATAAACTCAATACAAGCACTTTTGAAGTCATATTTTTTTATTCTACCACTCATTTGGAACACAGATTCATCACAAGAAGAACAAGCAAGAAACTTGTGTTTCGCTCTTTGAATAGATTTTTTTTATAATAATTACACAATAACAGGTAAGAAGCATGTGATAATCAACATAGAAACCGCCACGCACTCATTCTTAGTGCAATCAGATAATATTGTCAGCGCTATGAATTTTAAGTTATCTACAAAAACAAAAAAAAATTACCTGTAGGTATCTACGATAGCAGCGTTGACGTCAACTTCCTTCATCTGCTGCAGTAATTGCCTTACATTATCAAGCGCGCCTTCGCAGCGCGTCAAGCGATTTTGGACGTTATGCTTGCGGCGTAGATGACTTTTTGCCTGTCAATAATAAACACTAGTGAACATTTAGGCACTAACTGTGTTAAACGAAAATAGCACTTCAATAGGCGTGATAGGGTTCCTTTGCCAACAATAAACATTTGTGAGCAATTAGGTAATGACGGTGTCAAACAAAAATAACTCTTAAATAGGCGTGATAGAATTCTTTTGTCAATAATAAACATTGGTGAACAATTAGGTACTAATGGTGTCAAATAAAAATAGCACTTTAATAGCAGTGATAGGGTTCTTTTATCGATAATAAACATTGGTGAGCATTTAGGTACTGTGTCAAACAAAAATAACTCTTAAATAGGCGTGATAGAGTTCTTTTATCAATAATAAACATTGGTGAACAATTAGGTACTAATGGTGTCAAACAAAAATAGCACTTCAATAGCAGTGATAGGGTTCTTTTATCGATAATAAACATTGGTGAACATTTAGGTACTGTGTCAAACAAAAATAACTCTTAAATAGTTCTTCATTCACTAATGACAGTCATATGGTCATACGGTAATCTAGCAGTTTAGTAAACCTTGAGTTCTAGCAGTTTAGTTGCTTCCTATGGTCACGGGTTCTATTCCTCGCAGGGTACAAACATTTGTAATAACAAGTATGATTGATTATATAAGTCTAGGTGTATACTATATATGCGGCATGAATTTAGAATTACAGCTTTCTGTAGTTGGCAATATATACTAGCAATATTGTTCTATTGAGTATAATAATATGTGCAAATGTGACATACGGCGAGTCTGTCCCCGAGCTGCAGCGAGGCTGCTGCCTGGGCGGTGGCGGCTGCGACATCTCGCGCCAGTCTACTGGCGTCGGCCGCCAGTCGAGTCTCCGCACTCGTGAGCTTCACCAGCGCTTCGTCCGTCTCCGTCACAGGCTGGGCCTTCTTGTGAGGCTCAGCTGGAATATACATTGTATTTAATTTTTTTTTTATATTCTATTATGGTGCCAAATAAGCACACAGCCCATCTGATGGTAGATGGTTACCGTAGCCTATGGACGTCTGAAACACCAAGGTAGATAGAGCATCTATTAATAGCTGAATCCGCGGTTAAAATTAAAATTTATAGCCTATATATTATTCTGATGTATAAACTATATTACTGTGAAGTTTTATCAAAATCCGTTCAGTAGTTTTTGCGTGAAAGAGTAACAAACATCCGCAAACTTACAAACTTTCGCATTAATAATATTAATAATAAGATAAGCTACCACTAATTTAAAAAAGGTTTGCTACACTATTGTATTAGGGTAAGAATTGTAAAATTAGTTGTAAGAGTGGAAATAAAATAAATGTAGGTTTATTACAGACTTTTACGATATTTCAAATCTACCGTCAGTTCGGAATGATTTCGAGATGATCAGAACTGACAAGAAACTCAGCTCATATTCTTTTCAAATAAATGTTGTATATGTTTATAATAATACAGATTCATTTTAAAATTCAAATTTGAGAGAATAGAGTGACCACCAGTATATGCTGTTGCAAAAGCGAATAGTCTAATCAGAGTAACCTGAACAGACCAAGCCCCACAAGCAGCACCCATTCACAAGTATGAGGGATGAGCCAGCCATCATTGCACTCAACCATATTGCGAGCACATTGCTGAGCAATTACCTATTTTGACGACATCATCCTTCTTCACGGCAGCTTCTTGCGATACCAAGTACCCCAGGAGTATCTCAAAGGTCTCCCTGCTCTGTTGGAAGTTGCAGTTGCGCATCAGCTCATCTATTGTGCCAATGTGTTCTGCTTCAGGTGGATAATTCTGGAGGAGTTCTGTGGCTTGTTCCTGTAATTAAAGAACAGAATAGTTTTTTACATACTTATAGAATCGAATAGAATAGAAAATCATTTATTCAAATAAACTTACATTGAAGCACTTTTGAATAGTCATTACATTTTTTTAATCTACCGCTCATTCGGAAAGCTGTCTCATCACAAGAATGAGCTAGGAACTTGCGTGTTGGTCTTTTAAATAATTTTATTATTACTTTACATTTTTATGTTTAAGTGTGTGCATACAAACCACCAATTAGCACTAATTCAATTAAATACTCAAATAGAAAAAATATTGAATATATAACCAACTGGTTAAACTATTAATAAGAGGAAATCAAAGTCATAGTGGAATGATAACTCAGGCCATCTGCTACCTGATGGTAAGTGGCACCACCATTGCTAGCGGGGGGAAGGGGATTGCTAATAATGTAATCTTAACTCCATTGAATGTACCATGTCAGGTTGACCTCCACGCGGTTCCCCCTGGAAACCAACATGATAAATTCATGGTGAATTTGTCACAATGGGCTAACTGACCTGAGCTCATGCTCATCTTATCATCCTCCACTGGTGCCCCACCAGCGTAAACCGTTAGCTCAGACGGGTGCACCAGTCCATTATCATATACAAAAAAAAAACACCATTGCTAGCAATGTACCATGTCCGGCTGAACTTCATGTGGTTCCCTCTGGAAACCATCATGATAAGTTCCTGGGTAATTTTCCATGATGGGCTAACTGACCTATCCTCATGCTCATCCCATCATCCTCTAATACTGAACTGCCAGGGAGAAGGGGATTGTTAGGAATATGGACTAATATGTTATATGTCAGGTTGAGCTCCACGTGATGCCTTCGCGCGATCGCGATTTAACAGATCCTATCCTCCACTCTTGCCCCGCCAGCGTAAACCGTTAGCACAGGCGGGTGAAGTGAAGAAAAAATGATGCACCGTCAGCAAGAATTGTTTGATATGATGCAACTGCTACCTTCTACCTTTGCACCACTTGCCATCGACAGGGATTTGATAAAATATTTCATCCCCACATGGTGAAACCTAAGTGGTCTCAGGCAGTGCAGTTTCAGAGTAGCTTCCAGCGTACACTTAGATTGTGGAATTACCTACTTGCCAAGGTTTTCTCGAGAGACTACAGAATGCAGTTTTCAATAAGGGTATAATAGGGTTTATTTAGGGTCGGCAGTGCATGCGACACCCCTGGTGTTTCAAACTTCTATAAGCTATGGTACTAACACTCTACACTAGTATAAAATATGTCTTCTTACCTTCACGATACTTTCAAGCACGAATCGCTGAGTAGAATCAATACTAGCTTTCGGGAGGCCATCGTTATCAAGCGCTTGTCGCGCTGGCAGCAGTGATGACACCGCTGTTATTGCAAATGCAGCGGGCTTGAAAGCGAGTCGCGCGCCCCACCGCATCCAGCCCTCAGGTCCATTGTGGAGGATTTGTGGGTATTTCGAGATAGGTGATAATTCACCATTGCTGGAAAAGATTTTTTTTTTTATTTTTGAATACTGCTAATTGGCTTTGTTTTGTTTTCAATATCCAATAGCCTTCTGATGGTTCTTTTTTTAAATTGTAAAAGGTAACTAGGTTTGTGTAAAATGTTGAGTGGAGGTAAATTGGCTTTTGAAATTTAAGAATTTTCAATAGCAAATTATAAATCTTATGTCATATTATGTTTTGTCTATTCTTATGAACATGTGTGTGATTAGTAACAAACAAATAAACAATATATCTATCTAGCACCTGACTTTTTTCAATCATGCTATGTCTATGGGAAACCTTTATGACTAACCCTTTTTCAAGGACATGACCCATTGGATTTTTTTTGAGTGGTAAATAATGGAGCTTTTAAGTCCGACCTATGATGAAATTTTAGTCTTGATTCAGTGCTGAGTGAGATAAGGACCACAATATATTTATAATTAATAAGATATGTATACCTTATATACTTAAAGTAAATATATAAATAGTAATGATGAGGATGTCCTTGGTGGTCTAGCACACTGCTTAACGGCCGATGGTTGCAGGTTTGATTCCTCACATGGCACAAACATTTGTATTCATGAGTATGGTTGTTTATATCAGTCTGGGTGTTTTCTATGTATAATATGTATGTATTTACAAAAAAATATCTATGTATATGTATCAGTTACATAGTACCCATAACACAAGCTTTAGCTAGCTTAACTTGGGTCTAGTGTGTGAATTGTCCTGAGATTATTATTATTAATGATTAAATCTAATTATAATTATGATATAAAATGTATGTTCTACAAGTTTCATACAATCATGTTTATTTTTGAGCACAAGATATAAGTTCTGATATGACCATAATGGTAGGACCTTTATGGTCAAATTAGAACTTATATCTTGCATATAATATTATTAATTTTATATAAACACTTTATTGTGCACATTGAAGAAATTCAATAACCACAACAGTAAGTAGAAAATTAAGAAAATGTAGATGGCACACAAGACACTATATTTCTTAAAGGAATAAATAGATATACATACATATATATTTCATACTGCAAGATTTCAGAAAAAAATATATAATACCTGCAATGCTTTTAAAGTACACAAATTGAAAACTCTTCAAAATTAATCTATGGAAGATAATGACTTGCAAGCCATGTCTTGTTTAATAATATTGATATCACAATTTCATAATAATTTTTTTTATTCTAGTGACGCCAGACTTATTTATGGTAGCTAGGCTAAATTTATTGACGTTCCATTTTTAAAATAAAGGGCAAATGTACTCACCGGTACAGTTCTTCGACTACAATGTCCATACAAGCGCAAGTGCGCCCCTTTCTTTGAAAAGCGAACTTCGCGTCTGCTGCTGAGACTATAGGATCCTTTTTGGAACGACACCATTGTCTCAACATATCAGACCAAAATTTCATTTTCATGTCCCAGGACTCTGGATTTGCAGTTTTAATCCTGAACGGAGCGAATAAAGCATTCATGCGAACGTCGTCCGACCAGCATTGTGGTAGCTTATTCTCGGGCATACCGCCCCCTGGTAAGCTCATTTCGATCACAGATATCAATTTATTTTGGCGGTTAACAAAAATAATTCCGATATGATTATAAGGTAAGAAAAAATTTATTGTAAGAATATGGCGTGAAGTGAAATGAAAGGTTTCATATATTTTTTCTTCTAAAATTTATATGACTGACATCCAGCATGACTATTTATATGAAGTTGACTGACGTTAATAAGCGTGTTTAGCTTTCCTGGAATGCGTTTTGTTTTGTCATTTCTACACAATATAAATATATACACAAGTCAATAAACAAACTTATGTAATATTATCTTATAATACGTTGCTATGCAAGACTATATGATTTTAGTGTAAATTATAAATATGTTAGACTTTCATTGAGCATTGAGCATAAACTCAAAAATATTTCAATGAAATATTTTTGAGTTTATATATAGTGGTAGAATATCCAAAATCTTATTTATATATAGTGGTAGAATATCCAAAATCTTATTTTATTGTACACTTCTATAATATGTAGAAATGTAGAAAATGATTAAATTATATCGATAAATTTAAATATTCCTTAAAAAAATAAATAACTAAGATAAATGGTAACAAAACGCTAATGGCTATTTTTTAATCTATGTGTATGCCAGTATCAGCTGTAAACTGCTGTGTCGAAATGTTTCTTGAATTATCTGTCAGTCATTCGATCAGTTACTTTGATTTTTGACATTTTACTTATTCCGTTCGTTGTTGCTTGGTAAAAACGTGATTATTCCAAACTTTTCATTATATTTTCATCTCATTTATCAGCCGTAAAACGTTCGAGACAGCCACACATTTTTTTTATTGTAAGTATTAACTTATGCTTTTTATTTTTTCTTTTCGAATATAAAGTTTTGTGCCAGTACAATTTGCACTGTGACATTATATTTTGAGACGTGTGTTTAGAAATTGCGAGAACTAAATAATTAATCGTAAGATCATTGTTTAAGAACATAACTGTAAATAGACTGATTGTAATCTTTGCATAACTGTGTATACAATTTGCGTAGTTGGTTTGAACCGCTACGATTCTGATATTATTGTTGTTTTCTTGATTCGAATTAACCTACATTCTATTAAGTACTTGCAAACCGGTTATTGCAAACTGCTTGCTCTCTTGAGATGTAAGAGATCACGTATACGCGATATATAACAGACTAGCGTCGCGCCCTGCCTTCACACGTATACAATTAATGTAGAAATCTTTATTCCCTTTATAATTGGTAGGTGGTCTTTAAACAATAATAAAGCTATATAATACGCCTTACTAGAAGGCATAAAAATTTAAATCGTGATACTGTAGTTGTATTTTAGTTGATTTCTTCAATAGAACTGTTTTACTATTTAATTTTTTTTTATTCAATAACCATTAATAAGAATAAGAGCATATAAAAATTGTATGAAGGTGCAACTAAGGATATTAGTCCTTGCAATGGCACTACATGAGTCTATGAACTACAGAAGGCTTATAAGTTGCATAGGATCTTATTCATTACTGAAAAAAAATATACAATATAAATTTAGTGTCCTCAGTTAACAGATTCCCACAACAAAGCTGTTTATGGCTGGTGCCCAATCACTAGATGTAAAAAAAAAATGTCATGGAATATATTTATAAGCACTTTTTTATCTGTATTTAAGATATGCATGTGTTAACTTTCAGTTATAATAAAAAAAAATGGTATATATCCTGCAGTGACACAAGATGATGATATTAAAATTCAATTTTGTTTAATTAATAGACTATGTCAATATTCCTTTTTTTTTATTAAAGGGTTTTTTGTTTTTATACTTTAAACTTTAATAATAATAATAAGCTATTATTATTAATAATAATAATAATGAACACTTAAAATTTACCATGTGATAATTTAATTTGCAGTGCTTCTGTTTATTTGTTTTGTGGAAGGAAGCAAATAAACATTCTTTACTTTACAAGTGGGTGTTGAAATTTATTATTTCGGAATTACCCATTACAGTAACAAATCTATTCTTAGAAGTATACACCAATCATTTGCATATGTCTTTTGAAATCTGCTTACACATTATAATGAAGGTTTTTTTGTATTAGTTTTTGTCATCTTATAAAATACTAGTTGTTCTTCTTAAATAAAGTTAAATTTAACTTTATATTTCTAAAAAAAAAAAGTTTTTTTCTGAAATAAAAGTGGTAAAGTTACTCCTTATTGCATCAGCTACCTGCCAAAAAAAGTCCTGTCAAAATCGGTCCAGCCATTTCACAGATTAGCCAGAACAACAAACAGACAGACAGTCAAAATTGTAAAAAATGTTATTTTGGTCTATGTACCGTATTTATATTGATATATATGTAGTAAAAAACAGTTATTTCAATATTACAAACAGACACTCCAATTTTATTTATATGTATAGATGTATAGATTAGGCGTTCATTCTACAGAATATGCCCCATTTATTGGCGCAACAATAGAAATAGAAATAATCTTTGGTCAAATACAGCACTTTTGTATAATCATATTTATTTTATTCTACCACTCATTCACGACGACTCATGTCACCAAACATAATACATAAATGATGACTGACTTCTAACTTTAAAGCCTACTTTAATTGTAATAATTTTGGCCGCATCTTCTGTTAAAGGATTATTTAAAACCAACTGTGCCTGCATTAAATTTCAATATTAAATATAGCCTATGTGTTATTCTGATGTATAAGCTGTAGTACTGTAAAGTTTAATCAAAATCTGTTCAGTAGTTTAAGAACTACTCCATACTCACAAACTTTTGCGTTTATCTATACATCTATACTGTCTGTTTGTAATATTGATATAACCGTTTTTTACTATATACATATGAATATAAATACGGTACATACACCAAAATATCATTTTTTAAAATGTTGTCCGTTTGTTCAGGCTAATCTCTGAAATGGCTGGACCGATTTTGACGGGACTTTTTTTGGCAAGTAGCTATTGTAATAAGTAGTAACTTAGGCTACTTTTATTTTAGAAACACTATTTTATTTTAGAATAATAGTATATTATTCCACGCGGAGGGAGCCGCGGTTACAGTTAGTAATATTAATAAGATTAAGATACTATTACAGATGTACTTTTTTTTCATGTAACGTGTAACGTTACAGTGTTAGTTACTATTTCAGTTATATATTTCATTTAATCTCTATATCATATTCTTTTATTACATGTATGTGGGGGCCCCGCAAGTATTGTAGCATGTCAGATTGATATCCATTAGTCCCTGTGAAAACTTGAACTCATCACAATGCATGGTGAAGGATGAGAAAGTTGAATCAGTTAGATTTACCTTTATCAATGTATGTATATATTATGTGCTGTGATGATTAATTACCGCTAAGAGTACTAAGATGTCACGCCTCTTACTCTGTAATTTCACTGTCTAATCTGCACCCTACAACCGAAACAGCTTACAAAGCAAGCTGCTTGGCGGCTGAAATAGCTGATTTTTTTAGCTGAGTTAGAAATAGAAATAGCATAGAGAAATAGCTGAGTTTTTACATCTTATCTTAATCTTCATAATATTATATGTGCGAAAGTTAGTAAGTATGGATGTTTGTTAGACTTTCACGCAACTACTGAACGGATTTAATGAAACTTTACAGTAATATAACTTATGCATTAGAATAATACATGGCTATATTTTTTATTGAAACTTAATGCGGATGAAACCGCGGGCACAGCTAGCTGTGTATACAACGTAACAATATGTAATGATTACATTTTATTTTTCAGTTTGAGTTGTTCACGCGTACTTCTCGATAAGTACTGTTGAACAATTTACTTGGTACTCTATCAGTCGTATAAAAAGATTTAGAACAGATATGGATTGTAAAGATAAAATAATCTGAAAGATGTCTTGTAAACTCGAATTACAGATGTATGACACACTTCATACAACCGGATACCTCTTCTGAGCCGTAGATTTGACTGATTATGCACCTAATCCCACTGATAATATGTATTTATATCGTACATCCTATTGCTATATGTAGAAATCAATTTACAATTTTTTGTTTAGGAAAAAACTAAAGACCCCGAAAATACATCAAAATAATAATTACATTTAATAATGTCTAGTAAGACAAATTCAATATTGTCTACTAAGCACTGCCGTGTCTACACTGTGTCACCCCGCCTTACATTTTCCTAATGTTAATTAGTATATAAGATCATTATTTCTATGTACATATTGTCAGTTTATTATCATCTGTAATATACATCGTCTCGACCCACAACATCGTATTATTTACCCGCAACAATTCACATAAGTAAATAAATAGTGTTTTTATAACATAGGGGACAAACGAGCATGCGGTTCACCTGATGGTAAGTGATTACCGCCGCCCATGAGCATCCGCAACACCAGGGGAATTGCAAGTTGTATGTTCTTATCGGCCTTTTAAAAAGGAATAAGCTCTTTTCTTGAAGGTTTCAATATCGTATCGGTTCAGAAATACCATTGCTGGAAGGTGATTCCACAATGTGGTTGGGCGTGGCAAAAAGAATCTAGAAAACCGCACTGTAGAGGACCGCCATTCATTCAGATGATTAGGATGGTGTTTTAGTTTCTGGCGGGTGGTACGGTGGTGAAACTCGGCGGGTGGTAGTATAGTTACTTGAGTAATATATATTATATTACTCAAGTAACTATACTACCACCCGCCGAGTTTCACCACCGTAGCTAGCTGTTCCTGCGACTATGTCCGCGTGGAATTTATCTTTATTTTTCTAAAATAAAAGTAGCCTAAGTTACTCCTTATACATCAGCTACCTGCCAAAAGCTATACGGAGTAACTTAGGCTAAGTTACTGCGTATAGCTTAAGGGACTTTTTTTGGCAGGTATCTGATGTATCAGATACCTGCCAGAAAGTAGCCTAAGTTACTTCTTATTAGATGAGCTACCTGCCAAAAAAACTCCCGTCAAAATCGGTCCAACCATTTCAGAGATTATCCGGAACAAACAGACAGACAAAAATTGTAAAAAATGTTATTTTGGTGTATGTTATTCATATGCATATTGTAAAAAACGTTTATTTTAATATAACAAACAGACACTCATTTTATTTATA